GCAGAGCCGGCGCTCAGATAGCACCGGCTCTGCATGAGCCGACAGGGGGGATCCTGAGATCTCCCCTGCCGGTCTCAATACATAGCCGTGCCACGGGGATTAGGGTGTGCCCAGGCACACCCCGTGCGCACGCCCATGACTACGGAATCTGTTGGCGCTATATAAATGGTGATGATAATAATAATAACATACTCAAGAAGGCACAGAAGTACATCTTCCACCCTTGAAGCTCGGAACTTTAGGCAGTGACTTGGGGTATGCCCCACTGAACCCTTTGTGAGGGTAGACCCTGTTTACCTCCAAAAATGCTCCAGAACTGCTGAACGCTGTTGGAGAAAGTCTCACTGTGCATCTGACTTTCTCCACTATAAATTTATGCTGAGCTCATACAGCTTGGCTCTTTCCTCTGCAAAAGTTAATTACTTCAATACACTCATAACAACACTCTCCCGCGAACCCAAACAACTATTTCACACATTTAACTCTCTTCTTCGCCCTGCTGTTCCTCCTCCACCTACTAACTTGACCACCTCAGACTTTGCAACTCACTTCACTGACAAGATCTCTACAATTAGAGAAGAGATATCTCATCTTTCTTCTTCCCCTTACAATACTTCCCCTAACTTCACTCCCTCTGCTGTTCTATGTTCATTCGCACCCGCTACATTGGAAGAGGTTTCTGCTCTTCTCCGGTCCTCCCGCCCCACGACCTGCTTCCTAGATCCAATTCCCTCGCACCTCATCCGTACTCTATCTTCTTCTCTTTCTCCACCTCTCACTAAAATTCTCAATCAATCTCTCCCCCTCTCCCCCTCTCCTTCCCCCCCCCCATTAGCTCCTTTGGCTTCCAATATCATTTCTATGCAGATGACACGCAAATCTACCTGTCCTCTCCTGATCTCTCCCCGTCCCTCTTGACTAGTGTCTCTGACTGCCTCTCTGCTGTTTCTAACTGGGTGGCTGTCCACTTCCTTAAACTAAATTTGACCAAAACTGAGATTCTGGTCTTTCCTCCCTCAAGTGTTGTTACTCCTGTGTCTGTCTCCCTCCAAGTCTACGGTGCTACCATCAGCTCCACCATGCAGGCTCGCTGCCTAGGTGTTCTCTTTGACTCCGACCTCTCCTTCAAGCCTCATGTTCAATCTATCGCCAATTCCTGTCATTTCCATCTCAAAAACATTGCGCGCATCAGCCCCTACTTAATGCCAGATGCGACTAAGGTGTTGTTCCATTCCACTGTCTTTCTCGCCTTGACTACTGTAATCCGCTTCTCAGTGGTTTTACGTGCTCCCAACTAGCGCCGTTACAGTCCATAATGAATGGCGGCGGCGAGGCTCCTCTTCCTGTCCGCCCGCACCTCCCATGCCTCACCCTTCTGTCAGTCCCTACATTGGCTTCCTATAAAATATAGAGCTCAATTTAAAATTCTGGTTCTTGCTTTCAAATCTCTACATAATGCTGCTCCCAGCTATCTATCCTCCCTTATACACAAGTATGTCCCGTCTAGGCCCTTACGATCTGCTGAAGACTTACGTCTATCTTCTGTCCGTACTCCCACCTCTGATGCTCGCCTTCAAGATTTCTCGAGGGCTCCACCGTTCCTGTGGAACTCGCTTCCTTCCTCCGTTAGATGCTCACCCAATCTCCACTACTTCAAAAAATCTTTAAAAACCCACTTCTTCATAAAAGCGTATCAATTAAACTGTTAATAGCTCCTTACTGATTCCTCTTCTGCAACTGTCATTAGTCTAATACTATCCTTACCTTTTTGTCTCATTTTACCCCACTCCCTCTAGCATGTAAGCTCATTGAGCAGGGCCCTCAACCCCTCTTTTCCTGTGTGTCCAATTTGTCTGGTTACAACTACATGTCTGTTCGTCCACCCATTGTAAAGCGCTGCGGAATTTGACGGCGCTCTATAAATATCAGAATAATAATAATATTAAAGATCCTGTGGGGATTGGCGGCATGCTGCGCCTGGGATGAAAGTATATCCGCTTATCAAGTGTGTGTATGTGTTGACCTTGTATGGGCTTAACAGCACTGTGTGTAGCGGGATTATTTGCTTTTTTAAAATAATTTTTTAGCATAAGTAAGATACGTGGTGCTTCTGCCCGGTTGTGCTCGGCTTCAATGCTGGTTATGTACCTTGGGGGGTCATGGGCAGGGGGGGAGGGGGTGTTTCCCATTTTTTTTTTTTTTATATTTTATTCATATGTAATGTATAGAAATAGAGTATCAGAAAAGGTTTTGGGTTTTTTTTTTTTTCTCAATCACAGATCTATATGTCATTCTTTAATATCCCAGGTCTATAAACTGTTATCCAAACATAAGCTGGTTGGTTGTTTTGTTTTTTTCTCTACCATTCTTTAAATACCTATGGGAAGACTGTATAAAGCTAAGAAGAAAATATATTGTATAAACCTATAGGTCACGTGATTTGTAAGCTGTCTGTTATCTTATTTTTCATTGATTCTCACAGGAATGAAAATAAAACAGCAGGAACTTTTCAAACAATTAAAACCATCTGACAAAATGAACCAAACACTTAATGATGCAGAAATGAAGACCCGGGTTAAAGATCAAGAAAACCTAGAACGAGTTTCTAATAAAGTCATTGTAATTCAGGAGATTCTCCAGGTACGGATACTCTGAAACCCATTCCATTTCTTCACATTCTCCCTTCAGATATGAAGACCTTTTTAGCTTAATTATTGTACTGAAAATTAGAGGTTTTCTTAAATGTATTATTATTAGAAGTTTAAAGCAGAATTAGACAGACTTCGAAATCGAGATTTTTATCAATTTTTTTTTTAATCAAAATCGAGACTACATCTCCCATAATGCTCTTGCACCCACAATGCTGACAAAGCATTAAGGGGGATGTAGTCCACACATCTGGAGCCAAACACCAAAACACAATTCAAAACTGATGTTTCCATAAAGCCAGTTAGGCAGAGTCTTTTAGGCCTCACAATATTATATTTATGGGATCTGAAGTACTATCACAGTCATCCTTATGTACAAATTCAGATTGGAATTCAATTGGTTCAAATATAAAAATGTGTTTGGACAGAAACAAGCTCTTGCTGCTATACACACAAAAAAAATTTGAAACTTTCAAATGAATTGGGTATTTCCTCTGGTGACTATGTCCATTACCAACCGTTAACTAACTTAAGATCAGAAAGTTGGTTTACACTTTAAGGATGTGTCTAGCATTGATCATTTTATTAAAATTATGTCAGATGAGATTGAATATCTCGGTCCACAGATAATCTTACTTTTATGGAACAAAAAGTCCTACGTGTGTTTTTCTGACCCGAATTTGATCTGATAAGGACAGAAATATTGTCCTGTCAGATTGGACCATCTTAATAATTCTACCTCTTATGAACCTTTATCAGGAGATCCACCTGTATCTTTTCTTTAGAACTTAAGTCTATCCTAACTCCAGCAGTAGAAAGTGGCATAATTACAAGAGAGGAATACACATTTATTTTACTGCATTTAACTCTTAACCACTTTCTACTGCTTACCTAAAATATTCAAAAACCTAACAGACCCTCCAGGCAGACCAATTGTCTCTGGCAATGGCTTAATCACAGAAATGACCAGCCAGAACCTTGGGAAAACTGTTACATCTATTTGTGATGAATCTCAACTCCTACCTTCAGGACACTAGGCAGACTCTGTTCGTGTTGGATAATGTTGTGCCCCCTTATTGCCATTTGGCAAGTTTAGAAGTGGTATCTTTCTTACAACCTTCCACATGACAAGGGATTACAAGCCACCATCTATTTTTATTTATTTTTATTTTTTTAAGCAAATCTACACCAACCCAAAGGAAATTTATTAACACATTTATTTTTCAATGGCAGGTACTTTTTTGCATTTAAAGCGGCACTATCATTACCTTTCCCTAATCGCTTCCTCTTCTCTCTCTCTCTCATGATCTGTTCTTCTTTTCTTACTATCTGCTCTGGTTTTCTTTAACACATAAGACAAAGTAGTAACTAAGTATTTTTTTCTACACTTGACTCGGTCTAACCCACTTCCTACAATACTCACCCTTTCCTCAGTGATCTCCCGATGCCTCATTTCACTATTCCTGAACATCCTGTCATTTAGACAGGACGCCAGCGAAACTACTGAATTTCATCCTAACAGAATGAGAACAGTTTGTTCATTAACTATTCTTATTAGTGACATTAATATAGCGCCAGTTCGGTTCGAAATTTCAGTTGAATTAATGAAATTCCGATCCGATCCATGCCCACAGTATTAGGGAACTATCTGCCAAAAGGCTGAAAGTGCAATGTTTCGATCCCACAAGGGGTCTGTCTCAAGCTTGAAAAAGATCCCTTGTGGGATTGAAACATTGCACTTTGTTCCAATAAACCTGCTGAATTAATCCTTGAGTGCCTGGACTACAATTTTTGTTCAACCAATTTAAATGTGTCGACTAGAGTGTCCAATTAAAAAACAAAACAACAATGGAGGAACTAAGGTCGATAGAGGAACTGACCATGATGGCCAACACTACACCCACTACCTACATGAGCATCTGGACGCACTGGATTCTAGAGATGGCAAAAGAAGAGTTCCAATTAGAACTCAGACCTAACACTAACGGACACCACGACACAGACAGATAGCACTTAGAACACACACCCCAGACAACGCTAGACGGCCGACAGACGAACTGAACGGAACTACCCCCCCCTTTTCTTTTCTTCCCACCCCGATGCATTTCCCCCCCCCTCCCCTTGAAATGCCCGAGCATCATCATTGACTGAATCATCCCCACCGCACCCATAGCAACAAGGGAAACCATAATCAGGAACAACTAACAAACACGAGCTGGTACACACGTCCAGACCAGTCCGGGATGTCACCCCAAAGCCAAACCACGCGAACACCTGGGATAATCCTGGACAGACCCGGCAATGACACGGCTGATGCAGTACCCACACACCCAATATAAGAGTACCCCCTACCCGCAATATCACCATACCCCTGGTCAAACACGGGAAATACTGATAGTAATAGCGGGGGAAAACACAAGCCCACCACGGACAATGCCACACGGCTAAGGACACAGGGCCCTGTGAGACGCCCGTCGAACAAACACAATCAATCAAGGACTGATTAATCCGGCTCAAGGACGGTCACCTGGCATATTGTTCACCAAGTTTATGAAAACGTTACTTAACCTATATTCCCAAACTAATGTAATACCAGAAAATGGGGACCTGCGAGTCCTTCTACGATGGGGCCTGCGAGCCCGACTTGTTACCTTTTATCATAACATACAATGGAGACCTGTGAGTCTCACCGAACATTAATATATGCAAAATGAATAAAAATCATATTCACAAAAAAACCAAAAACAAAAAAAAAACGGTGACCCATCTCTTCTTTCATGCACTTCAATGAATTCTTTGAATTCAAGAAAAGGACATTTCAATATGACTTAAAAAAAAAAAAATAATAAAAAAAAGAATAATTTTAAAATCAAAATGGATAGATCCATTCAAAACAGTGGCACCACATGGCACTAATACAGAAGATTATGCATAAATATTGTATGCATGTTTAAACCATTTTTCCTATATTTACACATCTAGCATTATATCTGTATATGGTTTCATCCTTCAGTTTTCAGTTTTCTTCAACATAACTTTGTTATTGATGTACTAATATTGCTACAAGCTTTCACATTTCGTCACATTCCTTGAACCAATAGGACATCCTTTAAAGTACCACTATAGGCACCCAGACCACTTCAGTTAAATGAAGTGGTCTGGATGCCATGTCCCCCTAGTTTTAACCCTGCAGCTGTAAACTTAGCAGTTACAGAGAAACTGCTATGTTTACATTGCATGGTTATTCCAGCCTCTAGTGGCTGTCTCCTTCACATTCTCTGTATGAAAATCGCATTGAACTCACGTAGCATGAGTTCAGATCCCCATAGGAAAGCATTGAGCTATATCAGACCTCCGAGACTACTAAGCCAAAACAGATTCTCCATTCTTGGATCTATATACCGGAAAGAAGGACGGACACCTTTGGATTGACACTTTTTTGATTATACCAACTGTTGGCATTGTTTAAAGTTTATCACTGGCCATCCATAACAAATAATGCTCTGGGAAAAATTTATCAATTTCATTTTGGGCATCTATTAAATTTCTGGAAACATTGGATAAAATTCTCTACCTAGACTGCTGTTCAAGCAAATGCTTCCACTTCTGGGAGCAACTAAAGTACACCATGCTGTATTGACACCTTGAAGACTCAATTTAAGTATTAAACTGATCTAAAATGGTTTAACAATTGAAGGTACTCCGAGCACCATAATAATTTAATTGACTTGAAGTAGTTTTGGTGCCCGAAATGTTCTTGTTAATTCGTTGCCTAATTAAGCTGGTAGATGTGTGGATTATCATATGAATTAGTGCACCTAATTAGTTTTGTTTGAAAGTACCTAGATGTGCATAAATGGATGTGACTAGTTTTGGACGAGCATCTTCAGTAAAGCTATACATTTAATCAAATTCAGTATATTTATTATTCCAGGGTTAATCACCAGAGTGAGAACTCAAAGTGAACTACAATTTGAAGGACTATATAGCCCAATTGAAACAATTCTTTATCAGATGTGCTTCCAGATCAGCTACTTTGACATAAAATTTGAAATGCACTTTGAATTCTCTTTGGTGGATAACCCTCTATGACTTATATCAAGTATTTGTCAGGATCCTTCTAAATGTGTTCACAACTATTGTCTCAGTGGATTTAAAATATGAGTGAAGTCTTTGAAAGCCCTGTGCATCTGTCGATACCATGTCATTAATTTAATTATATTTTTATTTATTTTACTAGAGATTTGTTTTGGGTGCCCGGGTAAACTGGGCAGAAGACACACATTTAACTAATTTGTTGATGAAGATTAAGGAATGTTCTACATCCTACTAAGACAAGTGAATGTCTACCAACAAACAATGGTTTTGGTTTTAACAAAAAAAAAAACAAAGACTGATGGAATTTCAGAAAAAGCCTTAGCTTGTTGATTGCTAATGCGTATATATGTAATATTTATATTCTATTTAATGTACAATAAAGAATTTGGTAACTACTTTCCCATTTTTCTTTTAAAACACTCTTTAAATAAGCAGCTCTTAAGAGGAACTGTAGCACTATAACAATTTCACCTCCCTGAATGGTTGTAGTTCCTGGATTCCCCAGACACTGTCCTTCCATTCGGTGTTAAACCATCTTCAACTAAATAATGGATATGACTAAGGCAGACATTACACATCCTTCTAGCCATACCAATTTGTACCAGCAATGAGCTTTGCAATTGGCTAAAAGCAGTCAGCTGACATTCTCAACCAATCACCGTCATCTATTGCTGCTCAGACTAATGTTTGCTTATTAGCCAAAGCAGCACAGAGGGGCGAGGGTGATATGAACTCTTGTTTAACAATCACAACTGTTGAACACCGAATTGTAGGACAGTGCCAGGGCAACATATTAAATTAACTGTACACCCTTCATGCATGTTCTGTTCACATTAGGTTGAGCGTTGGTCTTACGTTATGATCATCAAAATGGTTTATCGGATTACAAATTCTAATGTTACAGTCTGCCATTATATGAATATATAAACTTGCTATGACAGTTTTTTTATTTCTTTTTCTGTAATTGTACGTGAGTTGTTTCTCTGTATAAGTGAGTTTTCAGTGTGGCAACATGGGACAAGTATGGCTGGATAAGGAATTTTAGATAACAGGTGCAGCACAGAAGACGATGGACTAGGAGATAGTAATGAAAGAATTAGAGTGATGCAAGTCCATGGCAGAATGAAGAGTTTTGGTAGGATAGTATTTGACAAGAATAGCTGAGATCTAGGGGGTGCAATCATGGATCAGAATTTGTACTTTATTCTGGTACCAATTGTGAGCCATTGTAGAGACTGGCACAGCAGGGGGCTTATGAACAGTGAGTGAGAGGAATTTTAGCATCAGTGTTCATGATAGATTGGAGACAGGCATTAGAGGGGCAGAAATGTTAAGAGTCTACTAATGCAAGTTTGGGTGTAACACTGTTGGTATTGCATAGAAGGATGCTTTGAAGAATAGCATCCAATTTAGTGACTGCTTTTGAGAAGTGAAGAAGGTAGATGAGAGGTTCCTGGAGGCTGAGGATTGGAGCAAGTGTGCTTAGGAGGGTTATTTAATCTAATAATGGCTGTGAGATAGTGGGGTTTTTGGGTTTTTTTTTTTTTTGGGGGGGGGGGTGGGGAGGTGGAAGAGCATAGCCATTGCTCTGATTAAAAATATAAAGTGCAGTGTGTAGTGGGGAAACCTTCCTTTAGCAACTGATGCCAGGCTAATCTTGTGTGGCAAAATTGGTGCAGATACAATTACTTCTGTTTGAGAAGAAAGTATGAGTATTTTGTTGCTCCGTTATTATGTTTCTATATGCTTGGAGAGATGGCTTTTACATAGGGACTGTGAGATGATGAAGGTACACATTAAAGGGATACTATAGTGCTAGGATTAGAAAGCTGTATTCCTAGCACTATAGCTCCCTCGCGGACACCCTTTCTCGTGGCTCCCCCCTCGGCATAGAAACGGATATAATACCCTTACTGTACTTATCTGATTCCAGCGCCGATGACCCTCGGTGCTGGGTTGATGCGCCGCCCCTTCCAAAATCACCCAATGTGTGGCGAATGCAGCAAGCGCATTAGACTCTCCCCATAAGAAAGCATTGCTACAATGCTTTTTTTTTTTTTTTTTTTTTATGAGGAATTGACTGATGCTGGATGTCTTCATGCAGAGGACGTCCAGCGTCATGCAACTAAAAATCACCTAACTACCTGCAAGAGCCTCTAGTGGCTATCTGATTGACAGCCACTAGAGGCAGTCTTAGCCCTGCAAGGTAATTATTGCAGTTTCTCAGTCTGCCACAAGTAGCAGTCTGCAAAATGACATGGAGGCTCATAGGAAAGCGTTGAATATGATCTTTTCTATGGGGAAGCTTGGAACCACATGTGGAGCTTACCACATATGCACGTCAGGATCTCAATGCTTCTCTATGAAGAGGCCTTTCCTCCCCAATGATGTCCTGGGAGACAGGGAGGTGAGTAGCACTGAGGGAAAAGGGTGCAGGAAAAATGGTTGGTAAAACTTTATTTTATTAGTTTTTGTTATAAATAGGGGGAAGCGGGTATCTAGGGACGGGGCACTAAAGCGTTTGGAATACAGGTTTGTATTCCTAATGTTATAGTGTTCCTTTAAGGCAGTGGTTCCAACCCAGTCCTCAAGTACCCTCTACCAGTCCAGGATTTGGGGATTACCCAGTTGTGTCTAAGGTGTTGTTAGAAAAGAAAAAAAATACACCTTAGACACAACAGGGTAATCCCTAAATCCTGGACTGGTAGGGGGTACTTGAGAACTGGGTTGGGAACCACTGCTTTAAGGTATTGTCATTCGGTATTTTAGAATCGCAGTATGAGCTCAGGTGTGTGTAGATAGGATTACTGATAAGCTGCGACAGTATGTTGATTGAAACTTTTTGTTTTCCATTAACTCCTGTGTTACTAAAGCTACTCATTGTACCCTAAGCCCCCTGAACTCCAACCCTT